CGGGTTTGGGTCAGGAAGGCAATTTCTCATCTCTCCTCACAGCAATTGAGTCGAAAATCTGGGAGCCGCGCTCTCCGCCCCCAGCCCTCCCTCGCCAGTGCTGGTGGTGGCGGTGGCTCTGGGGAAGGCAGGTGGCAGGGTGGGCCGGCGGAGCGGGGAGCGGAGCAGCCGGGCCGGAGGTGGGAGCAGGGAGCAGCTGGCTGCCCGCCCGCAGACCGGGCTGCTTTTCCTCCCGCTGTAATGGCTCACGGTGACTCCAATGGTGGCCGCGCACCTCGAGGCTGCGCTGGCCCCGGCCCCCACCGCGAGCCACATCTGAGGCTTTTAGAGGCGCCAGGCAGCTGCTCCCGGCCTAACCGACTTTTCCGGATGGTTTCTGGCCTGCAAGGGCCCAGATAAACAAAGCCGGGGTGGCTGTAAACCTCAGGGCCGCCCCGCGAGACGGTGGCCTGGAGCAGGAGGCAGCCAGCGGGAGGGAACGGACGGCCCTGGCTTCCAGCTCCGGCTCCCCACAGGCCACGGGGTCAGCAGCGGAGGAGCCAGTTTCCGTAAGGTGGCGCTGGCCCAGCGGGATTGATTGCAGAAACCAGCCAGCAGCAGTTCCTCACTGTCTCCTGGGATCCAGGCTCCGGAGCCCGATGACCTCATTTTCTGCTCAGCTGAGACGTGTTTAGGGAACACCGAGGGGCTCGAGGGAGGGGGCTGAGGTGGGTGGTCTGCGGCCAGCACGCCTGGGTTTGGATGGCTACTGTGTGATCGCTGGACCGCTCTGATCCTGTTGCCGAAAAAACAAGTCCCGAGCTCGGAGATAGATACGCTTTGGGACCCACAGTAACAGCCTGATGTCCGTAACAGTGCTGTTCTCCATGGGGCGTGCCACTGAACGCCGTGCCACTGCTAGCAGATGGATTGCCGATAGCCTCCTGTCCCCTCCTGCCCACCCTGCCCCCCAGGGCTCCCAGCCCGGGCCGCCAGGGAGGGCTGGGTGCCAGCTGCAGCGCCGAATTCGAAGGCGGATGTGCGCCCTGACTCCCTGTCAGCGCGGTTGCTTTGTGGCTGCCTCTTCTACAGGCAGGCGCCTTACATGTTGTTTTCAAAAACCAGGTTTATCAGGGTTTGCAGCTACGCACAATGACATTCAGAATTCTCACAGACGGATACCTGGCACCCCAGCCCAGGATGCTCCGCCCATCTCTCTGTGGTCACCCCCAGCCCCAGCCCTACAGCCAGGGCTCCGTCCTCTGTCCCCGTGGTTCTGCCTTCCCTGGGGTGGCTCCGATGGCGAAGCCCCTCTGTCCCACCCTCTCGCTGTGGTGCTGTGGGGGAGACCCGCGTGGGGCCCACATCCCCTTTTTGTGCCTTTCAGCTCTGAGGGTGCTCCCCGCGCTGTTTGCCTGGCCCAAGGTCCCAGAGGAGGCCCATCCTTCCAGGCAGGGAGTGTCCCCACCTGAGACCACGTCTTGGCATTGGGTCCGACCACGGCCAAAGACGTATCTTTGTCCCTGCCAGGGAGACCGTGGCCAGCACGGATAATTGGATTTTAATAAAGCGAGCAGGAGTGGGCCGCTCTGGCCTGCGCAGAGGCCTTGCAATTAAACCGATTATGTTGTGTGAGTCAAGCTGTCTGATTTCTCCCGTCCCTAATTTGATGGTGCTCCCTGCCCTGCCAGCAGGGTTATTTATTTACTTATTTATTTATTTACCTGGCTTTCACGAGCTGGGTGAAGACACCAAGAGGTGACCCCGGGTCAGGCCCATGTGTTCCTACTCACCTCACACCCCTCCCTCTTGTTCTGAGACCCCCAACCTTGACAGCTCTGGAATCACCTAGGGATGGCCTCGAAGTGCCAGGGCCCAGGCCACACCCCAAGGATGCTGATCTAGGGGACTCAGGACTCTAGCCAGGTTGTTGAGGCTTTTTGGAATACCCGGAGTGTCCCGGAGCCCTGTCTGAGGGACATAAACCTTCCTGAAGCCCAGGTTGGGGCTGCCTCCTGCTGGCCAGATCCTCCACTGGGCTGTCCCAGCACCAGGGCATAGGCCGTGACCAGGTGGAGGCCTGAGGTGTTCTGGGGAGGGCTGGGGGGCACCCTCAGTACAGACATCGCCAAAGAGAACAGCTGGTGGCGGGCCCGAGTGTCTGTCCCTGGCAGCGTGTGGCAATTCTGTCCCCTGCTTGTTTTGTTAGCAAACATCTCTTGCCCGCCTCCCTTCTGCTGGGCCTTCTGTGAGGTCGGGGACGGGTGGGGGTGCTTGGTGCCTCCTTCCCTGCCCCTGCTGTGGGTACGTGGGTTGTCTTCCTGCTCTGGGGGTTTGGGCAGGGTGCCCAGAGGTGCCCAGTCTAGGACTCAGGACACCGGATGCTCAGAGCTTTCTGGCCCGGGGTCCCCATCTGGAATGGGGGGCGCACTCACAGCTGCAAAGCAGCCCCTTCTGGTTCTCACAGTCAGGTGTCCCGGCCACGGGTGGGGTGTGGAAGGAGCTGTCTGGGGAGCTTTTAGTTGTCCCCCTGGGGCTGGAGATCCTGGGCCACTTTCTGCAGCTTAGGGGCTGCACTATGGCTCTCTGATTGGTGTCACTGGGGTGACACTGGCATGATGGGACAGGTCCGGCAGGGGCCACCCTTGCGTCTCCCACAACCTGAGGTCTAGAGCTCCTGACCCCTCCGGCGTGTGGTTCCGGTTGAGGCTGGTCCCTCACCACATAGAACAGGTGGCACCTCAGGCGACCGTGAGAGACCTCAGGTGAGTGTCCAGCCGAGGATGGGCCTGGGGCCAGCCCCATCTGCTTGCTGCCCCTCTCGGCGCTCTGAACCTCCCTCGCTGCCCCAGGCCCCGTGGCCAGCACCATGGTCTCTTGTCCCTAGCAGAAAGTCCTGGTCACTCCTGGGTCCTACTCTGCGCCCCGTTTGCCACCCGCCCGCAGCTCCTCCCCTGTCCCGAGGGCCCTGGCATCGAGCTCCACTTCCCTGAGCCAGGGACCGAGGCTGGAAGGGGGACGGCATCGCAGCAGCCAGGGGCTCAGTGACCCTGAGAGTGGCCGTGGGGGGCAGGTCTTCAGGCTCAGTTCCTCTGCCACTGCTGGCCCCTGCCAGCGCCCTGCTGTCATGCCCTCGTATCCCCTGCTCTCCTCGCCTGCCCCCTCTCAGACGCTGTCCTTGGCACCAGTCCCCATCCCATGGGGGAGTGGGGGGCACCCCGAGCCTGGAGAATGAGCCCCCAGTCCACAGCAAGCTCAAGGCCCTTAATTTCACCCCATCCAGAAGGACCTCATTTCTAAATAAGCTTCCCTGCCCGGGGACGGGCTCAGAGAGTGACCGTGCCTTCTGGGGGGACTGTAGTCCAGCCTACTATGACACAAGGTGGTTCTTCAAGGGAAGTAGACTCCCTGGCCAGGACCCCTGGTGCCCAGTTCTGTGCTGACGTCGTGTTCAGCTCTGTCCCGCGGATGGGCACAGACACAGCACCCCACGAGGTTTGTGAGGGGTCCCCTGACGCGCCTGGATGGACACCCACCCCAGCGCAGGCATCCGTGGGCGGGATCATTACTCGGAGTGCAGCCCTGATCCCCACCGAGGCCGAGTTCCTCACTCCAGACGAAGACACAGAGCAGCCCAGGCCCCGCGTGCTCCCGGCCAGGGGCTAACACAGGCAGCCCGGGGGCACGCGGGGCAGGGAAGGCCTCTGCTTGTCGGGGACCCCCTGTCCCTGGTGTGACTCTGTCCTGGATCAGAGACAGACGTGGGGCACCTCTGTCTGCGAGCTGACGACCTCAGGTGGCCCAGACCTCCTGCATGATTTCAGACAGGCCTGGGGGAGTGTGGGCTCCTCAGGCACCCGCAGCCATCTACCTGGGAAGGCCTGTCCGTCTGTCCATCTCTTGGCTCAGCTTGCAGGCAGCCTAGCCTGACTGCCCTCCCCCATCCTTCCCAGGGGACCCCAGGGTATCACCCCTGTACATAGGAGGAGGTACCCAGAGCACCCCCATTGGACAGCTAAGGACACAGAGGCTCACAGAGGTAAATGGCTCACCTAGGCCTTAGAGCTGGACTTGGATGTGGGTGTCAGGTGTTCCCGCTGACCCCCTTATCCTGGTCCTGGGGAGCCCAATGTCTGATTAACAGCCTGACTCGGGAGGTCACTGAGGGGCAGAATAGGATTTGGGACACGGGCACAAGCCTGTAGTGAGTTGGTGCGTGGAACCCACAGTGACCCTGTCTGGGGGGATGCTGAGATGGCTGAGGTGGAACCCCCAGACACACCCCAGCTGGTGTGGGAGACCAGGACCCCCATGCAAACCCCAAGCACCCTGGAAGGTGTCCTTTCCCGCTGTGTGCGGCTGTGACCTCAGCCCTCTCTGCTTCTGGAGGGGCGTGAGGCGGGTGAGCCTGGGGACAGGGAGCTGATGGAGGCTTCGGCCACACAGATGCCTCTGCAGGGGCCAGAGCTGTCCCGTGATGGTGGCCCTGAGCATCAGCGTCCTGAGCCTGGGCCTGCAACCTTCCACCCACTGCACTCTGACCCCAGGAGGCCAGGCAGCGTGTCCCTGGGCAGCTCTGGGAAGGTCAGGACCCCAGGGCATGGCGGGAGGAGGGAGGGCTGATTGTCCCCAGCAGAGCAGGGCCTCAGCCTCTGCAGGCCAGGACCGCAGCTGTGGCCGGGCACGAGTCCCAGGAATGCAGCGGCCCCTGACCTGGGAGGAGGCGCGGGTCCTCTTGGGGTTCTCTCCTGGCCCTTGGGGTCAGCACTGCAGCCTCGCTGTCTCCCTCCAGGTGACCAAATGACCCGGCCACTCTGCTCTGGGCCTGCAGGGTGAGGCCTGCACGCATGGACGGACCTGGGGCAACTCTGCCTTATACCTCACTTCTAGTCTTGGCCAGCGGGGCGGGGCTGGGTGAGGGGGGCCACCCCGCGCCTGGAGAATGAGCCCTGAGGACAGGCTGCACCCCCACCCCCGTTTCCAACAACAGTGACTGCAACTGACTTGGGTTTGGAGCCTCCATGCCCTGCCTTCGCCCCAGCACACAGCAGGGATCGCGCACCCCATCTGACAGGACACAGAGGACAAGCAGGGCCCCCACGCCCTCCACACTGTGCTGACCTCCGCACCCAAGACCCGGCTTGAGGCAGAAAGGACAGCGGGGCCCTGGTGGCATGGGAGGTACCGGCCCAGGAGCAGCTGCAGGGCCACCCATGAACGAGGACGCAGGGACGCACGGCCTGGCGTGGTGCCATGGCAGGGAGCAGGGGGCCGAGCTGGGGACGGGCTGGGTCACCCCCGGACACACCACAGTGCCGCCAAGAGAGAGAGAGGAGCGGGAAGTACCCGCGGGCCTGGCCATCTGCGCTCTCCCGGAGGCCCAGGGACCCTGGCGGGGGGGGGAGGGCCACCCAAGAGCGTGACAGCCATGTCCCACCCCGTGCCCAAAAGGCTGTGTCCACAGCCCTCGGCTCCCTGGGCCTGGGAGGGCACCACGGCTCCTCAGGATGCCCGCTGTCTGCCCAGGAGCTGCCAGCTTAGACGCTGCTCCACGTATGGGGAGCCAGGGAGCCGGTCGCTGGCCTCCGACACCGGGTCTGCTCCCTTCCTGGGCCACTGTGTGAGGAGGGAGCCCCGTCTCTCGCAAAGGGCTTTGGAGCCAGCACAGCAGGCTCTGAGAAGCAGCAGGCCCCGCCCAGCGCAGCCACCACCAGCGCCCCAGGTCCTTGGGCACATTGCAGGAGGCCGCCCAGCCCCTGGCGGACGCGCTGCATGCCCAGCAGCTTGCTGGTGAGTACAGCGGGGGCTAGAGTGCTAGTGCGGTACACAGCTGAGACTGCCACACCTGGCAGCCCCACTCAGAGCTCTTGTTGGTTCCTGTGTTGTTGGGGGCTTACAGCACAAACCGCCAAGCTGCCCTTGCACCCTGGGGCATCCTCTCCACGCTTCTGCTCCATTCCTTTTGCCATGTGGGGCAAAGGTGGGATCTTATCTGTTCCCTTGTGCCAAGGGGCAGCTGGAGGTGGAAGATGCTAAGACTTAGGTCATTCATCCAGTGTGCCCATTGTTCAGATGGGAATACTGAGGGTAGTTGTTACGACTCCTTCCCCCCCAGCTGTTTTCTCCTTTGGGTCTTCGGCGTTTGCTGCACGCAGGCTGAACCAGCACAGGCCCCTTCAGAAGCCAGGTGCCTCCCGGAGCACAGTGAGCCGTGGCCCTGATGGCTCTAAGTCTGTGCTGCCAGCCCCCAAGGACTCCACACTGCCTCAGCTCATGGGGGAGTCCCCAGGAGGTGGGCCCCTTAGCTCCTGGACAGGACACACAGAAGGGGAAGGGAGGTCCCACTGGGTGAAGAGGCTTCTGGTCCTGCAGGTCGCACACTGGATGCCCCTGCCCTGGTTGGTTCTTGGCCTCAGAAAAGGGCCTGGCGGCCTGGGGCAGAGACAGGGGGCAGCCTCGGCCCCGCCCCTCACCCAGATAAGACACCTCTGCCTCCTGCTGAGGGCTCAAGGTCAGCCGGTGCGGGGGAGGGGGGTGAGGGCCACTCAGCCCAGGCACACATGGGAGCCTTCTGGGGAGCCCAGGCCCCTCGCCCAGAGATGCAGGGTGCCTGGCGGGAGTGGGGCCTGGCCTGCTATTCCCCAAACTCCCAGACTGCCATGTCCAGCAAGGGGACACGGTGCCCTGCCCTTGTGGGAGGGACGCTGGGCTGTTTGGGAATTGGAAACCAGTGGTTTTGCTGGACAGCCGGAAGAAAGCACTCGGTGAGGGGCAAGGTTGTTCCTGCACTGAGCACAGCACTTAATTTCAGAAGCCGGAGTGGCCAGCAGAAAACATTCAGGCACGGTGGCGGGCACCTGTCATCCCAGCACTCTGCGAGGCTGAGGCAGGAGGATTGCAAGTTTGAGCCCAGCTTGGGCAACTGAGTGGGGCCCTGTCTCAAAATAATAAATAAAAAAGGGTGGCTGGGGACGCAGCTCAGTGTGAAGCGCCTGGATTCAATCCCTAGTAGTGCAGGGGAGAAAAAAGAAGATCGGCAACTCAGCCAGGTGGGAACTCAGCTGTACCTCCTCCCAGCCGGTCAGGAGCCTGCAGTGCTCTCCCACAGCCTGAGCTGATGTCATCTTGGGGGCGATGAGAGCTGGGGGCGCAGGGGTGGGGAAAGGCCCGTGGGAGCATGGGCTGGTGTCCCTGCGCCTCAGGAGGCCTGACGCCCGAGACAGTGACGGGCACTGAGCCAGGAAGGCGGGCTGGGGGGGACCATGGCCTTGGGCTGGATGCCGGACAGACAGCGAAGGGCCTGGGGCGGGGAGGCTGCAGCTCCGACGGGAAGCAGTTCTAGGGAGGCCTTAGCCTGTGTCCCCAGGCCACGCCGGCTTCCCCACCGTTGCTGGGGTTGGTGTCCCGGTCCAGCGCTGCTGGCACTGTGTGGTGCTCACCAGCACCCCTGTCCCCATCGGAACTCCGAAGTGTGCCAGCCTCGGTGGTACCTGTGCCCTTGGGGACAAAAGCCCGCTGAGAAGCTCTGACTTGGAGCAGATTCTTGGTCCTGGGTGGACAGTGGGATCCCCCGGGGCTCGGGAGGGTACTGGGACCTGGTCCCTGCAAGTGGGGGGCCAGGAGGGTCTACCAGGCTTCAAGGCTTGAGACCCCTCAACCGCTGGACTCCTCCTGAGCAGCCCCCAAGGGGGTGGCACACTCTGAGGCCCCCTTATAACTGGAGTCCTTGGAATTCTCAGGCTGGCCCCCTGTCCATGGTCCCCTGGGACAGGACCCGGGTGCTCACTACCCCCTGCTGGGCTCGCGCTGCTTCTTCCCAGCCCCTTGCTCCCCAGTTCCACCTGGACTGGGCCCCTGCCCACCTCCTGCCCGAGGACTCCTCCCGCCCTCTCCCTCCCTGGCGGGATTTAGTGGGCGGAGCGAGCAGCCCGCTCACGGAGAAGGGGGCGGGGCGCGGAGTCTTGCGGCGGATGGGGGCGGGGATCCCCCCCCCTTGGAAAATACAAAAGAGAAATGCACCAGTGCCCGGACCCGAGCCCCAGCCCCGCGGGAGGAGAAATGAAACGCGGCCCCAATTAGAGGCTCTGGTTCTGCAAACTTGATGCTCGGCACTTGAACTGTCACGGCGGAGCCTTAATTAGCAGCGCGGGGGAGAGGTCAGGCGGCGCGGTGCTGACAGCGCGCTCCGAGTGCTGCGGAGGGAGCGCGGGGGCGGGGAGG